CTGCCGTAGTCCACCATCATTGTCCATACTGCTTCCTTCCCACTTTGTTCTTACCCCTTCCACTCGGTGCTCTGTTTCTGTACTCAGCTACCAAGGGTTAGTTTTTAAGCTTGCCTTGATGTGACTACTAATTTAATTACTTTATATTCCACATATCCTGACCACACCTAGTCGTTATCTTTCTCCCTCTGACAGCGTTATTCCTGTCCACTCCATCCATGCTGCAGCATATAGTAGTTGTTTATCTTTTTTTGCTAACTGAGTCATATAGCAGTATTCCGTTGTGTGTACCAACCACATCTTCTTGGTCCACTCATCTGTTTGGAGGCACTTGGATTATTTCCATGAGTTAGCTATAGCAGGTAGTGCTACAGTAAATTTGGGAGTGCAACTTTAAAAGTTGCTATGACACAGGCATGGAGGGTGGTGCTCCCTGGTGGTGCAGGGATTAAGTCTCAGCCCATTGAAGCTATCAGCAGCCTCTGCAGCTCCGGTTTGATCCCAAGCAGGGAGAGGCCCCATATAGCGCAGCAGACCTCTCCTGTCTCCCCGATTCTCCCCTCAGCAGTGTGTTTCAATCCGCCTGTTCTGCTCCCTGCTCTGTCTCTGGTGAATCTGTCTCACACCCGTATCTCTGGCCTGCACCCCAGCTCTTGTGTGCATAAATGCACAAAGATAAATCCTTCAAAAATTTCTTTTGACAGATGTCTAAGGAGTAGAATTACTGGGCCAAATGGCAGATCAGTGTTTAATGTTTTGAGACCCTCCATACTATTTTCCATAAGGCCTGGACCCATCTGCATTCCCATGAGCAGTGGAGGCGGGGTCCCTTTATTCACATCCTGTGCAGTGCTTGATGTTTCTGAGCTTTTCTGTATGGCCCTTTGCATGGGTGGGAGATGGTACCTCATTGTGGTTCTCCCTTGCCTTCTCTAATAATAAGTGATGTTAACCGTGTTCTCTTGTATCTGCCGGCCACCCGAATGTCTTCTTGGGAGAACTGTCTGTCTCGTTCTTTGGCCTGTCTTTTTGATTTTGTTTTATTGTGGCATCTTATGAGTTCTTTGTACATCTCTGATCTCAGTTCCTTGTCACGTGTGTGGTGTACAGATATTTTCTCTCAGTCATTTGGGTGTCTTGTCATTTTGGATACTGTCTCTCTTGCTTCTCTGAAGATTCCATCAAGTTTGATAAAGCCCCAGGTGTCTCTCTTCTCTTTTGCTTTCTTCCTTGCTGTTGAGGACAAATCCCATAGGCATCATTAAATCTTATGTCATGAAATACTCTGTTTTCTTCTGTGTATTTTATGATTTCAGGTTTTATATCCAAGTGTTTGGGCAATAGAGTGTATTGGCTCAGCCTCTTTATTTCTCTCTCTTGCTTCCACATTCATTTGTATGTGCTCCAATAGTATCTTGAGTTCTAGATCAAAAGTGACTTCCAGGCCTCCCTGGTGGCTCAGCGGTTGAGCGCTGGGTTGTGAAGCTGCCCACAGCCTCTGCAGCGCTGGTTCGATCCCCGGCTACTGCCCGGCCACCACCACTGGAGGAGGGTCCCACATGGCGCGCAGACCTCTCCTGCCGCCTGCTGCTCCCCTCAGCAGTGTACTTCGGTCCTTCTGCCTGCTCTGCTTTCTGCTCTGGCTCTGGTGAATTGTCTCATCCTCCTGCGCTTCTGACTGTACTCAGTGCTTGTATAAATAAATAAATATAAAAAAATAAATCTTAAAAAAAAAAAGCGACTTCCCAGTTTGTACTCTTTACACTAACTTTCTCCTGATGCCAGTGGTGGAGGTGGGACAGGTCTACCTAGTCTTTCGGACCTGCAGCCTTTCTGGGAGTCTTGCCCACCCATTTTCTGATTCAGAGGTGGATGGAGCTCTTGGGTATCCGTGTGTTCTTTGTAAGTAGGCACTTGGGTTTGAACTAATTGAATGTTTGTCCTGACCTTGGAGTTCTTTGAGATTCCTGCTTACATAGGTTATTGTCGTTAGTAAAGAAAATGTGGGAAATACAGACGGGAAAATATTCTCTCTGTTGTCACTGCACTTCCTGGTACTCATTTTTACGTTGATTGTACCCCACATGTACAGATAGGTACATGTACAAGATAGGTCTTGTTTCCTAATCTTTATTGTTTTTCTTTGTCCTTCTTAAATTAGATACTTTCCTTTTGTTATAGAGCAACCCCGATATAAAACGGGTTGCCTGGCTGTGGGTCCTCACCTGCACGCTTAAAAAGGACTTATTAATACTCCACTACAGGCACACACAAAAGGTTAATAAAAGGTTTATTTACAAGGGAAAAGGAAAGAAGGAAAATGTAAAACTCAGGGAGAAAATAGGGAAATAAAGTCTTTAATGCCTCCTACCCGATCTGCCAACCTGGAAACACAAAGGTACTCTCAGAGCTGGCCGGACGCTGCGAGCTGGCGGAGCGCCAAAATGGGGGAACCCCCCCAAAGCCCACGGGTCTGGCTTTATACCAACCTGGCTGCTTAACCCCACCCTCAGGTCCCAGCCACCTTCCCTTTGATGGTGATGGGATTTGGAGTTCCCAGTGTCTTTTGGCTTTGGTCTGGAGTGTGGGGTGGAGTCCACAAAGCCTGTATGGGATTAACTTTAGGACATCCTTTTCCCCCTAATGCTTTGATTTATTTTCCCATTCACTGGTTCTTTTCTCCCTACCCAGGTCATCTGTTGCTCTGCAGCGGGTGAGTTTTTCTTTTCTGAAATTGCAATCACTCCTCCAAAATCTCTTTTGTAATTTTAATCCTTTTATAATTTATAACTCTGTATGGTATCTGTTCTTGTCTCCTTTTAGGCTCCCTGTTTATGTCCAGGCTACCCATAGGCATTAACCCATTACTAAGATAGTTCATGTAACGTTTTAGTAATTACAGTGATTTTTGTGCTAAGTCCAATGCCTGTGTTAAGAGTTTAAGTTCATTTCAGATGTTGCTATAGGTGACCATACTTCCTTTCTTCTTTAAATGTTGTGTATCTTTGGTTTTAGAATTGACCTTTCTGCTTGACCTTTGCTTTTCCATGTAAGAGCTGTATTGTATTCATGGGTGATCTAAGTCTCTGTTACTTAGACTGTTGCCAGTTATTTTACATTTTCAACATTGCTATCTGTTAACTTTAGAAAACAGAAGATCTCCCAATCCAGGTTTTGTTGTGGTGGTTTTGGGGTTACAGTTCTTCTTTTGTTTAGTGGCACTTTCCAACTATTTTTTATGATGTATTTCTTATATTGTGTGGTAATGAAGTCTCTTTGCTTTGCCTTAATAACTAGGTAGTGACGGACAGATTTTCCTACAAGTCTTAGAGTAAAAGGAAAAACTATTACTTTTCAAAGGAAATTAGATGCTCAGAGTAGGATAGACCCCTGCCTTGCCAACACTACCAAAAAAAAAAAAAAAAGAAACAAGCAAACAAACAAAACATGGAACTTCCCTGTGTTTGTTTAACATTGATTCTTTTTTTTTTTTTTTGAAAAGATTTATTTATGTATGCATACAAGAACCAAGGGACAGGCCAGATGTGCGGGGAACAAAACAGAGAAACAGAGTAGGGAACAAAACAGGCAGACTTACTGAAATACACTGCTGAGGGGAGTAGCAGGAGAGACAGTAGAAGTCTGCTGTGCTATGTGTGTCAGCTATGTGACCTGTGATCAACTTGTCCTGCATTGGCTATACTTATTCTTTCTACTAAGAGAGAGAGAGAGAGAGAGAGAGAGGGAGGGAGGAAGGGGGGAGAGAGCGAGAGAGAGACAGAGAGACAGAGAGACAGAGAGAGACAGAGAGAAAACAAAACATGGAACTTCCCTGTATTTTTTTAACTTTGATTCTTTTTTTGAAAAAAATTATTTATGTATGCATACAAGAACTGAGGGACATGGCAGATGTGCAGATGATAGCTTCTTAGTGCTGAGACTTAACCCCTTGCACCACCAAGGAGGCCCTAAAATTGATTCCTGTATTAGGCCACTCCTGTTTCTCTTAGTCTATGTAGAGCTCTACTTTAGCCTTACTTCTTCCTTTCTCAGAGCCCATGTATCAACCACGCGCAGTAAAGTTTGCACTGATCTTTTTTGAATATGTTTCTTGATTGAGATATACTAGTTTGTCTATACCAAAACTTTTCAAATCTTATGGTTTCCACTTCCTGGCTTATTCTTCTATCCTTTTGTTGTATCTGTTGTTTACCCCAAACATTATTATGCTTTCAGCAAGAGAAACTTATTTGTTTTTGAATGTTTGGGGCAGTGTTCTCTTTGAAGATGTGGTACATTGGTAAAGTTCTGAATTTGGTGACACAAAGGTAAATTTCTTCCATCAATTTCTCCAAAAAACTACATTCAGGTCCAAACAAACATACAGTTCATTGAGATCAGGTCCTAAAATTTGGAACTGCAGCTGTCATCCTTAAGACTGCTGCTTTATGGAGGAAGTGAGTAAGATAAACTGTCACAAAGATGTACTGTATTTAAGTTGCCTTTATCCTGGTAACGTGTTCACTTGGTTGTTGAGAACCTTTTACTTATTTCCAGAATCCTAGTAAGATAGATTCTGACAGTTATCATAAGGTTTCTAGTGTTTTTTTTTTAAAGATTTTTTTATTATTTTTATTTATTTATTTATTTATAGAAGCACTGGGTACAGTCAGAAGCACGGGAGGGTGAGAGAATTCACCAGAGCCAGAGCAGGGAGCAGAGCAGGCAGAAGGACTGAAGTACACTGCTGAGGGGAGCAGCGGGCGGCAGGAGAGGTCTGCGCGCCATGTGGGACGCTCCTCCGGAGGCCGGGGAGCATCCAGGGATCGAACTGGTGCTGCAGAGGCTGCAGGCAGCTTCGCAACCCAGCGCTCAACCGCTGCGCCACCGGGGAGGCCAAGGTTTCTAGTGTTTACGGGGAGAAGATGGACTCCCCGAGTCTCTGCTCTGTGGAATCCTCTAATGCCAAGTCTAATTGTTTATTTTAAAATATTTTACAGAATGTGGGTCTGCTTTCACTAATAAACTGCAAGGAATGTTTAGAGACATGGAACTTTCCAAAGATATCATGGTTCAGTTAAAACAGGTATCATCATTTAAAAGATTTTTGTTTTTAAGTAAATTTCTTCAGTGTTAGTTTTTACAAGAATAGAATGCTTTTTAAGAAGAGCTACTATTAATGTTATCAATTAATTTTTCTGCCTTTATTTGACTTTTCATTTCTTTCATAGATAAACAAAAATTTTATGTGGGGGTAGTGAGGGGGCTGTATTCACTTTTATCATCTTGCCTGAGCTCTTTTTTTGCAGTAAGATGGAGTTAAAAAATATGATAGGAAATTAGTTGTTTGAAGTACAATTCTTAGATTTTTTTCAGCATTTTGTTAGAATGTAAGTTTTATTTTTCAAGACAAGTAATGTTTACATTTAGTAATTAAGATTTCATATATTTAGAAATAAATTTCTGTTACAGCATTATGTCTTGTAAATGTCAAAAATTACTTTTCAATGGATGCTTGTCTTTTGCAGCACATGCAGAATCAGGATGTGCCAGGGAATATTGAATTAAATGTGAATATCCTGACAGCAAGCTTTTGGCCAGCCTATATCCCTAAGGAAATACAGTTACCCCGAGAGGTAAGAGTCATTGCAGAAGAAACTTTGTTATAGCAGATTGGTTTAAATGTCACCTTTTCAATTTTAACAACTCTTTTTTTTTTTAACATTTATTTATTTATGCATACAAGAACTGGGGTACAGGCCAGAGATGTGGGGGGTGAGAGGATCCACTAGAGACAGAGTGGGGAACAGAACAGGCAGACTGACTGAAATACACTGCTGAGGGGAGCAGCGGGCAAGACAGGAGAGGTCTGCCTCGCCATGTGGGTTTCTCCCTGGCCAGGGATTGAACTCGTGCTGCAGAGGCTGTGGATTGCTTCATAGTGCTGTGCTTAACCCCTTGCGCCACCAGGAAGACCCATTTTTAACAACTCTTATGCCATGTTTCATGTTGTTATAAATTTAATCTTAATCTCTAGTTTAAAATGTATTTTTGAAGTTTTATATGGAGATAACAAGATTATATGGTTCAGTTTTGAGTTATTCCAATAGTTTTAATAGTCTTACTTTTTTATTATGTAGTCAAATATGGGTTTGACTCTACCTGTTTCTTTTTATTTTGTTTTTACAATGGCATTATTCAATTATGGTTTATATATTCATTCTTTTTCAGTGTAAGATGTTTTATGCTCATATTACACGGACACATCATAACAATATTTCAGCCCACAGGGCCTCCCTGGTGGCGCAGTGCTTGAGCTCTGGGTTACGAAGCTGCCCACAGCCTCCGCAGCGCCAATTCGATCCCTGGCCGCCGGGTGGGGGTCCCACGTGGAACGCAGACCTCCCCTGCTGCCCGCTGCTCCTCTCAGCAGTGTGTTTCATCAGTCTGCCTGTTCTGTTCCCCACTCTGGCTCTGGTGAATTCTGTCACCCTCCCATGCTTCTGACTATACCCAGTGCTTGTATAAATAAATAAATAAATAATCTTTAAAAAAAATTTTCAGACCACATAATTCAGTCTTCTCATCCTCTGCTCAGTAATCATGAAACCATGAAACTTCCTTTCCAAATTCTGCCCATTTTGGAAATGCTTAGTTAGCGAGTTCTTTAGCTTCAGTTTTCTCTGTTCTGTTGAAGGAGTTACACATTTCTTTTTGTTGTCCCTCTTAAACATTGTGTTGACATCCCAATAGCTGTTGTCCCATCTCCCATTCTCTGAGGACTCACTTACAAGACTTAACTAAATGCATTTTATCATCATGTTGTTAAATTGGTAGGATCTCAGGGGGAGCATATGTAAACTGTTGAATCTACATTGTTGAACTAGAAGAATTCACAATTCACAGGGCTCTCCTTTCTTACTCCAAAATGCCATTTCTCATCCACAGTTGTAAGCCATTCTTGATTATGTGTATGTGTACACATACATCCATCACACACACACACATAACATGCAACACACACACATCACTTTTAGGACTTCAGGAGTAACTTGTGTAGAGTTTACTTATAGCTCTTCCGCATCTTTTCTGCAGATGGAAAGGCTTCAGGAAAAGTTCAAAAATTTCTACTTAAGCAAGCACAGTGGCCGGAAACTTCAGTGGCAGTCGACTCTTGGGCACTGTGTTCTTAGAGCTGACTTTAAAAAGGTAAGCCAGAGACTTTTAAACTAGGTCTTCTACTTTTTACCTTTCTCACATTTATCTTGACAAAGAATATTTTTAATGTATGTCTTATTTTAAGAAGAAAGATATTTATTTATTGGAAGACATGAGTGAATTTGGGATTATAGATGAATGATTTTGAAGAAATCAGTTTTTGAAATGGTACGTGCATATGTTTCTTTACATTAATCTCTGCAGTAATGAGACATGACTTTTGCTCTCTTATGTCTCAAACCCAATGTCAGTTGTTACAGGAGTCATGGACATTTACTGCTCTGGCCTCATAAGGCAGATAGCAGGTATTGAATTTACTCACTAAGCTTGACATTGAGCCATAACTTAGTGTCATAAAGTGTTTTGTTGAAAATTCCTCTCAATATTAAAAATGCCAGCACAGAGTCTCCTTGGGTTGTGTAAAACACGGTAGTACATTAATATTCTGATTTGCTGATATGAATGAAATTGAGAGAATAATATAAAGTATCTTCCAGGGCCTCCCCTGGTGGCACAGGTGATTGAGCACCTCACTGTGAAGCTGTCCTCAGCCTCTGCAGCGCAGGTTTGATCCCAGCCGGTTGGCGAGGGTCCCACATGGTGCTGCAGACCTCGCCTGTCTTTCTCGCTGCTCCCCTCAGTAGTGTATTCCATCAGTCTGCCTGTTCTGCTCCCTGCTCTGTCTCTAGTGAATCCACTCACCCTCCCACGCATCTGGCCTGTGCCCCAGTTCTTGTATAAATAAATAAATAAATCTTCAAAAAAAAAAAAAAAAAAGTATCTTCCAGAGATTACCTTTAAGGCCCAGGTATAAGGTAGCTACTTGGAACATGAGAAACAATGAAACTTGTGTGTGTTTATCAACTGGCATCCATTATCTGAACCTCTGATTAGATTACTCCAGGGTTTAGCTACATTTTTCTCATCTGCATCTTTATCTTTATCCTGTACATGAGTTTGCAAATTAGTTCCAAATGTAACTCCGCTGCCTAATCCTCTTAATTTGTAAATATTCTTTATTTGGAAAGGGTTTTTGCAGATGTGACGAAAGACTCTTGATATGGAGAGTCCAGATTACACACACACATACACACACACACACACACACACACACACACACACACACACACACAACAAGGTGCTATATGAAGATGGAACCAGAGATTGGAGAATGCAGCACAAGCCAAGGGTGGTAGCACACTGTATAAATTGAAAGAGATGGGGAATGCGTTCTTACCTAGAGCCTCTGGGGAGTTCAGCCCCACTAATACCTTGAGTTTCTGTCCCCTAGAGCTCTGGGAGAAAATGTTTTAAACCGCAGGGTTTGTAGTGATTTGTTACAGCAGCCATAGGGACTAATGTATCCACCTCACCTAAACCTTTTATTACTGACAAGCTTTGTCTTTACACTGGCAATCCAAGCACTGTCAATGGCCAGTGTGATTTTCTTACCCATTAACAAGACGCTGATCCCTATATCATAAGTTTAGAAATCAACTGTGTGCCAGTGATCAAAGCATTAAGGGACTATAGGAGAGCTTTTTGTTTTCACTTCTACCTCAGTGGGTTTGGGTAAAGGGAGTCTCTAAAAAGTAGTAACTAATATTTGAATTGAACAGAGGAAAAAACCGTGCTTATATCCTAGGATTCTTAGCAATCAGATGTTTATATTTTTAAAGGGTAAAATCAGAATCACCTGATTTCTTTGTTGGACCTAATCAAGTAAACCCTCAGATTTCATATGCATATTTACCATATTATGTTTATTGCAGTCTGTTTTTCTACATGGAAGGGAAATACCATTTTGGAGAAAGTTTCATGATAGGTGCATGCGGTAAGCCCAAAGCCAGCAAACGCACAGAAAATAAACCTGAAGAGCAAAAACTTACACTAACAGTGAAAGAAAATCACATAGCCATAGGATCTGTGCTCTCTTCACTTTATGAAAACCCAGTACACTTACATTTTCTTCCTATTTATAACTGGAAATTACCTGATATTTCTCATAGAGTTTCTTCATTTTTCTTAATGTCTTGTTTATCCTTCTTTTCCTGATGGGGTTATTCATACATTTGTGTCTTCTATTTTTGAAATTTCTTAATCTGCTAGTGTTAGTCTATTAAAGCAACCAATTTGTCTTAATTTTTGAGAATCTCTTTTGTGTTGTTTTATTATTGTCAGTCTCTTTGGTGAGGCATTTTTCCCCAGATCTCCTTGCTGAGATCTTATACCTGCCCAACTGCCTTTGACAGAAGGTCTTACAACATGGTAAACTTGTTTTAAAGTCCTTGTGTGATAGGTCCTCTATTTCTGTATCCTTTATATTTCTGTTGTAATCTTTCGGGTGGTCTGCCAACATTCCTTTTTTCCCAGGCATGTGTATTGCCTCTGTGTGTGTGTATTGTGGGATGGGAATTGGGAGGAATGTTGGGGGTTTACTTTTCTTTTTCTTCTTAATTAACCTTGGTGTCAGGTGGGGCCAGACGAGATACTGGGGCTTAAATACTCAACCGCAGTTTTGTTGGGGAGTGAAGTTATTTGTCTCTGCCCCCTCTCTTCTGCCTCCACAGCTAGCTCTGTTGGGTGTTCCCTTTGCCTTACTTAACACTGCCTCCATGCTCCTCTTTCCTACCATGGGTCAGATGGTGATCTGAAGCTTGAGTCTCTTGGTGAGGAGAGCTACTTCTGGTCAACATGGCTCATGTCAGGACTTACTTGGATCCAGCACGCAGTCGGTGCCGAAGAAGCATTTGTGGTTGCTTGTCCAGCTTTGACCATAGGCAGTGACTGTCACAGCCACCACTGCCATCTTACCTCTGATTCAACTGCCATGCTGCTTCTGAGAGTCTGGGACTAGAAGCTCTGCATGTCCTCTTGATACCTTAAGAAGGGTTATTGAGTTATCTCACCATCTTATCTGTGCTGTTAAGATCCCAGTTTGTCTTTTCCTGATGAGGGGGGTTGGGAGTAGAGCTTTCCTTGATTGCACCAGTCACAGGGTTCCCAGTGTCTCAGGTTGCCCCCATGGTCATGCATGATGGACTCTCTTTCTGGAAATTTCCTTTCAGGATTTCAAGCACCCCACAATGCCTTGGAGTGCCCTGCTGTGCTGTATACAGATGGCCCACAGCCATCCTTCCTGCTACACTATCTATGCTCCCAGAAGTGTTTCCCTCTACCTCCACCTTCTCTTTGCCCTCACCAGCCACCGACCTTATTTTGAGTTCTCTGTGGGAAAGTCCAAGACTATCAGGGGCTTCTGAGTCTGCCTTTGAGCATGTGATTTTGTAATAGATTTCAGTGAGAAGGTGATCCTAAGCTTGCTTTCTTCTATGTTGTGTGGTTGGAGAAGCTCACATTCTCTTTATTCGCCATCTGTTGATGGACACTTACACAGTTTTTGTATGTGGCTGTTGTCCATAATGCTATAATGCTATGGTATTCTGATATGATTAAATTGAAGAAACAATTTCTTTGTTTTTCTTAATACATATCCAGCTTCAAGACTGCTTGGGTCATTTGATAATTCTTTTTCCCCCCTAATATGATTTTTTTCAAAATTAAGAACTTTTCCAGCTTAACTGATATAATTAACAACAGTTGTGAAAGTACAATATATATCACATCCCAATCTGACAAAAGTATATATTGTGTAAAAAGATTTCTGCAAGAAGTTAATTAATAATTCATTGCCAGACCTCCCTCGTGGTGCAAGGGGTTTAGACACAATCTAGGAAGCTATCCACAGTCACTGCAGCATGAGATTGATTCCTGGCCAGCCAGGGGGCAATCCATATGGCACAGCCAACCTCTCCTGGTTCGCCCACTGCTCCCCTTAGCAGTGTATTTCAGTCAGTCTGCCTGTTCTGTTCCCTGCCCTGTCTCTGGTGAATCCTCTCACCCCCCACACACCTCTTGCTGTACCCCAGTTCTTGTATGCATAAATAAAATAAATATTTAAAAAATAATAACAACAATCCACAGAGTTGTGTATTAAAATGTACTTCATTATCTTAGCAGTATATAGTATTGTTTAAATATGTAACAGAAGTATTGTTAATTGTAGTCTCTTTGCTGTCTACCTGTCCAGAAATTACTCATCACACATTATGGACCACTTTAATTTGTCTCTGAGTTCCCTCTGTAGTTTCCCATCAACCAAAGTGACTTTTTTTTCCCAGTGAGTTCACATTCTTTGGATTCTATCTATGAGTGAATACACACAGTATTTGTTTATTGTGGTTTGACTTATTTCACCTGAGTCATGCCCACGAAATTTTATTCACAGTCATAAATCACAGAATTTCCCATTTTTTGTGGCTAAATAATCTTCTATTGTTTATGTATATGTACCGTCATGCCTTAGCCAGGGAGCTGGGAATTGAACTCGTGCTGCAGTGGCTGCTGCTATCTTTGTAGTGCTGAGATTTAACCCCTTTGGCCACCAGGGAGGCCCAAGCCTTAAATTTTAATCCATTTTCAGTTAGTTGTTGTAATTGGTATAATTTAGGGTTTCAATTTCATTCTTCTGCATATGGTTATCCATTTTCTGACAACTGTTTATTGAGTATACTGTCCATTTTTCATTAAGTATTCTTGGCTCCCTTTTCAAAGACTAGCTGACTATATAGTCAGCATTTTATTTCTGAACTCTGTTCTCTTCTGTTGCCCTGTGAATTTTTTTTTGGCTTGATTATTCTAAATTTGTGGAAGTATAGTTTGAAGTCAAGAGATGAGGTGTTTCAGCCTTTTTCTTTCTCAGCATGTCTTTGGCCTTTGGGGCGTCTGTTTGCTGCCTTACAAATTTTAGAATTGTTTTTCACTATTTCAGCTTATATTTCAAACCTTTTGACATTTTAACACAAATTGCATTGAATGTGTACAAATATTTTGATTGGTTTGGACGTTATAATAACATTAATTTTCCTGATCATGACTGTAAGACACACTTGCTTTCTGTGAATGGTGGCTAGAAGAATCAGCTGGGACAGTTGTTTACATAGTGTTATAAATATCTTAGTAATGAATAGAAAAATATAGATATATTTAATTCCATTTTAATTTATTAATTTAACATTTTCATTGTGGCAACCTTTGTTTACAGCACTGTATTTGATCCTCAATGCACCCATAGTCCTTTGGGCACCCTCCACACTCTGCTTTAGCCGACCCTCCCCCCAAACCCCTTTCCCTCACTGACTCAATTCCAAGTCAGATTGCTTGAGTTTATTTTTGGTTCATTTTTCTATCACTGTTTTGCTTTTCTATTAGACATGTAAGTGAATCTATCCTGTATTTGTCTTTGTTCTTCTGCTTTATTTCACTTAGCATTATCTTCTCCAGTCCTATTTTGTCACAGATGGCAAGAGATCATCTTTTCTGTTTGTACTTAAATGCATAGTACTCCCTTCTTTCTATACACCACCTTTTCTTAATCCACCCATCTCTCTGTGTTTCCATACAGTGGCTGTTGAAAATAGTGCTCTACTAAACATTAGAGTGCATGTATTTCTTCAAATTAGCAGTTTTGTATTCTTTAGGTAGTTAGCTAGGAGTGGAATTGCTAGGTCATATGATAAATCTATTTTTAATATTTTGAGAATGCCTCCATAATGTTTTTCATGGCAACTGAACCAGTCTATATTCCTACCAACAGTGTTACATTTTATAAGGAAATATCATCGCTGACACTGGTTTTTCAGAAGAGCTGTGTTACCACAATTTCAGTCTTCAAACTATACTACAAAACTTTACTAATCAAAACAATATGTTACTAGAATAAAATCAGTCATGCTAATCAGTGGAATAGAATGGAGAGCCCAGAAATAAACCCACACTTATAAGGACAGTTAATCTGTGGCAAAGAAGGTACAGGATGCATTGGGAGAAAGCATTCTTTTTAATAAAATGGTGTTAGTAAAACTGCACAGCAGAGACATGTTTAATAATAAAACTAGATCACTGCCTTACACCATTGCAAAATTAACTCAAATAGATTAAAAGCTTGGTGCAATACTGAAGCCATAAAATACTTGAAGAAAACATAGGCAAAATGCCCTACAATATTGGTTTCGGTGTTGGGTTTGTGTATTTGTCACCAGCTATTTAAAAAAAAAATATGAACAATTGAGATTACATCTAACTGCAAAAGTCTTCTGTACAGTGAAGGAAAATATCACTGACTTTTGCAAGATCTGCAAAAGAACACTTAACAAATGAGATAACCCACTCAAAAAATGGGCAGAAGCGCTAAAAAGGCAGTTGTCCAGAGAAGACATAGATAGAGGTGATGACCAGCACATGAAAACATTCTCATCATCACTTACATCAGGGAAATGCCAACTAAAAACTCATTAAATTCCTTTTTAAAATCAGTGTTTACAAGTATGTAAATTTCAGGCATATAGCTTTACATCCTAGTAAATGAAAATGTCTTCCTAAATTCCACAGATGTCATTCATATATATCTTAATAAGTATTCCACTATTATATATCACATTTTATCCATTCATTCATAGTCTGATACCACACCCACCATCAAATTCCTGGTGCAAATTACCCCTATCAAATTGACCTCTCTTGTCCCCATCCTATCAAGGGCGAAAGTCTGAGAGTAATCTTTGTGGTATTTGTTTCTTTGTGTTTAAAATATGAATGAAATTATTTTACTTAATTTGTTGTAAGAAATGTGTGTAATGTGCTTACTAAATTCCATAGTTTTGTACAATCACCAGCCACTTTGAGCACTATTTTGACTTCTACAGAACAAACTCACATTTTATTTTTACTTTTTTAAATTTATTTTATGCATACAAGAGCTGAGGTGTAGACCAGAGGTGTGGGGAGGGAGTAGTGGTAAGAGGATTCACTAGAGACAGAGTAGAGAGCAGAATAGGTGGATTTACTGAAATACACTGTTGAAGGGAGCAGTAGGGGAGACAGGAGAGATCTGCTGCACCATGTGAGTCAGCTTCCTGGCCAGGGATCAAACTGGTGCTGCAGTGGCTATGGATGGCTTTATAGTTCTGAGTATTAACCCCTTGTGCCACCAGGGAAGCTGCCAAACTTAACTTTTTTTTTTTTTTCATGTTTCCCTCTATTCTCCAGATCATCTCAAAACTCTGTGTAAAACTGTAGAAGTTCTATATAACAATTAACGTTACCAAAATTAACATTAATTCTGCTACTTTAAATACTTATTTTAAAAATATTTTTACATCCTTTTTTTTTAAGATTTTTATTTATTTATTTATACAAGCACTGGGTACAGTCAGAAGGATGGATGAGAGAATTCACCAGAGCCAGAGGGGAGAGCAGAACAGGCAGACTGACAAAGCACACTGCTGAGGAGAGCAGCGGGTGGCAGGAGAGGTCTGCGCACCGTGTGGGACCCTTGTCCAGTGGCTGGGGATCGAACCGGCGCTGCAGAGGCTGCAGCCAGCTTCCCAACCCAGTGCTCAACTGCTGAGCCACCGGGGAGGCCCTATATTTTTTTTACATCATTTTTAATTGTTTGTACAATGTATGCATTTTCATCATGCTTATAGTCCCAGTACAATTCCTATCACCCTTGTTTTAAATCTTGTCAATGTCTAAAATAAAAATGTAACTGAATCATATTTGGATAATCAGTGGTTTATTTTTCTCCATGAAATTAATGTAACACTATTTCTAACAGGGCAAAAAAGAACTTCAAGTGTCCCTTGTCCAAGCATTAGTGCTTTTGATGTTTAATGAAGGTGATCAGTTCAGTTTGGAAGAAATTAAGGTGGCTACCAGAGTAGGTAAGTATCCAACATACTTGTTTAAATATGTGGCAAGATAAAAATGCTAAACTATTTTTTTCTAATTCAGAGGACAGAGAACTAAGAAGAACCTTACAGTCATTAGCTTGTGGCAAAGCAAGAGTTCTCAACAAAAATCCAAAAGGAAGAGATGTGGAAGATGGTGACAAATTTTTTTATAATGATGAATTCAAACATAAACTCTTCAAGATAAAGATTAATCAAATCCAGATGAAAGAAACGGTATTTCTTATAACATATTTTTGTGCTTTTCTGTTAGCAATTACAATGTTTTTTTGATGTGATAAAACCAAAATTTAGCATTTTCAAAGTGTGTGTGAGAGAGAGAGTATACACAGGTTTTACAAGAAATGCCTGCCATTTTTCAGTTTTTATTTATGTATATTTCACATCATTTTTCCTTTTTTACAATGTTTGCTTTCTTTACTGGGAATTTACTTAAAAAAAAGGGGAAATTTTTCATTTAATTACTAATTTACTTATCCCAAGCTCTGGTAAGCAGTATTTTTCCTTTCTATGCCTGTGACTGGACTGATTTATAAACCTCATCTGTGAGGTTCCTACCATAGAAGCATTCAGTATTTGGGGTTTTTTGACTGGTTTACTTTTTACATGCTGCAGCATGTAATAGATGTCACTGATTTACACCTGATAAGTGTTTCATTATTACACATCTCATTTTATCTGGTCATTTATAGTTGCACATGGGTTGCCTCCATAGTTTGGCTAATTAAGATGGGTATGAATTAAAATTCTTCTTTCGCTTATTTTGGATACATGGCCAAAAGTGTCATCGGCTGGATCATATAGTAGTTTTATTTTTAACATCTCTGAGGACTTACCAAGCTTTTTCACAGTGGTGGCACTATTTTATAGTTTCATCATCAGGGCTCATTTTCTCCATTCTTTGGTGCGTTAACTGTTATTTTGTATATTATTTAATAGTGTCATTTCTCATTCTGACTTGCATGTCTATGCTGATTAGTGATGCTGAGATGTCCATCATATGCTTTTGGCCAATTGTACATTATCTTTAGAAAAGTACTTTGCTCTTTTTTACCTGCCTTATTTTTTGTGGCTGAATTTCAGAATTTTTTTAAATAAAATCTTGGGTTAATCCCATGGGGGGCTTGGAATGGTTTTCTCCCATTGCAAGGGTTGCCTTTCATTCTGTTGTTTGTGGTCTTTGATGCTCAAATTTCTAAGTTTATTATAGTGTCATTTGTCTATTTTGCTTTTATCTTTGCTTTTGATAACCTTTCCAAAAATTATTTCCATATCCACTATCATGAAGATTTCCCTTGTTTCCTGCTAGGTATTTTACAGTTTTTGTTGCCTGTTTTGGTCTTTAATGCTCTTTGAGTTAATTTTTGTTTGTAGGTTAAATAACATACAGGCTCTCTTTATTCTGTTGCATGTTTTCCCATCTTTTTTTAAGACTATATATATATATATATATATATATATATGTTTGTTATATATAGTTTAAATATATATGTGTGTGTTCTAGGTACTTCAAGATTTATAGTAGCGTGTAGTTCAATAGGTCTGTATGTGGAGAAATGAAAGGTTTTTTACTTATATATTTTTAACATCATTGTTTATTTTTAAACAATGTTCGTTATTCATTTTTAAACAATTTTTCTCCCCCACCATTTTAAAGGATATTTTCTTTCAGATTGAGTGGTGCTAGAAAACCTTTGAAGATCTCTTGATAATATACATCTACCTCTGCATTTCTTTCATTGGTCCATGTCACTACCTTTCTGTCAGTGTCACATAGCAGTATTCACTGATGACTCTAGTTTTGTGTAATGTATTTTGAAATTATAGTAGATTATATAGCTTTGCTCATCTTTTCCTTACTCATTTGACTTTAGGAATTCTTTCATAAAGTCCATACGAATTTGAGATTTTTCATTTCTGCAAAAAGTTCTATTAGAATATTGATAGGCAGGCCTCCCTGGTGGTGCAAGGGGTTAAGATGCAACCTATGAGGCTCGCCGCAGCCACTTTGGCGGGGGTTCCATCCGCAGCCAGGGAGCTACTCACATGGCACAGCAGACCTCTCCTGACTCACCCGCTACTCCCCTCAGCAGTGGATTTCAGTCAATCCGCCTGTTGTGTTTCCCACTCTGTCTCTGGTGAATCTTTTCACCTCCCCCACCATAGCTCTGGCCTGTACACCAATTCTTGTATGTATAAATAAATAAATACTTAAAAAGTAGTATTGATAGGGTTTTCATAGTTTGTATAGAATCCTTTAGCATCATTGTCCTCACTTATTCAGACAACTTTCTGCCTTCCAGTTCGTGAACATAGCATGTCTTTGTTCTTTTTTTTAATTTTTTTCTCATAGTCACATAATTTTCACTGTGTCTTTTAATCTACTTCATTAATTTTATTCCTGAGTTTCTTCTTTTTTAAGATTTATTTACTTATGCACACAAGAATTGGGGGACAGGCCAGAGGTGCAGAGGTGAGAAGATTCACCAGAGACAGAGTGGGGAACAGAACAGGTGGACTGACTGAAATACACTGCTGAGGGAAGCTGTGGACAAGTCAGGAGAGGTCTGCTGCACCATGTCGGTATCTCCATGGCTGGGCATTGAACTGGTGCTGCAGTGGCTGGCGGATAGCTTCATAGGTTGCATCTTAACCCCTGGTACCACCAGGGGTCCTGGAGATTCATTTTTAATGTTGCAAAACCATTATTTCTTTTCTGCATTTTGAGGTGAAATTGACTATAAAAATGGTAAAATTTGATGGGTAAACTCATTTTAGTATAAATAAAGTTGCTTCATAAATCTATAATTTATTCATCACATCATCACTACTTTTCTACATAATAGAATTTTTTTGATGTTGGTGAGATCATCTTGCCGCATTGCAAGCAGATGATATATTATTGAGAATACTCACATTCTACTTGATATGGGAGCGTGTTCATTTTGTGTAACTGAAACAATGTATCCTCTGACCAACACCTCACTAATCTCTGACCCCATTCTTGGTAACCATGGTTCTATTTTCTTCTTCTGATCTCTTCTCATCTCTTCTTTTAGATTCCAAATGTATGTGAGATCATGAAGTATTTGTCTTTCAGTGCCTGGTTTGTCTTTTTTTTTTAAATATTTATTTATTTTTGTACAAGAACTGGGATACAGGCCAGAGGCACGGGAGGGTGAGAGGATACACCCAAGACAGAGCTGGGAGCTGAACAGGCAGAAGGACCGAAGACACTGCCGAGGGGAGCAGTGGGCAATGCAGGAGAGGTCTGCTGTGCATGTGGGTTGTTCCCTGGACGGCCGGGGATCAAACCCGTGCTACAGAGGCTGCAGACAGCTTCACAGCATGGTGTTCAACCTCCTGCACCACCAGGGAGACCTTGGTTTGTTTTTCTTAAGATGTTTTCACTAATGGCAGGAAATTCTTTATTTTTTAATCATGAATTATGTTCTTTTATACATGCATATACTACATCTTGTTTATTCATTCCTCCACCAGTGTACATTTAGGGTCTTCTATATCTGTTATGAATAATGCTGCAAGAAACATGGAGCTCATGTTTATTGCCATCTATTTGAGATCTCCATTAGAGTGTGTCCTTCTTTGAGAGTGGAATTTCAATTTTCCGCGGTTACTGTGCCAGTTAACATTGTCAGCATTGTAAAAGGATTCACATTCCTCATATCCTTCTCTCTATAGTATTTTATTTTTTGATAACATCTGTCGTAACATGAGTAGTACTATTGTCACATTTTACATGATGCAATGTCTCTGTGGTGTTTTTTATTTGAACTTTCCTAATTATTGATTTGAGCACCATTTTAGATCTTTTGACCATCTATGCTTTCAGTGTCTTATCAATGAAAAAGCATTGCCCAGTTAAATGTCTAGAATATTTCCCCATATTTTCTTATAAGTGTTTTATCATTTCATATTTTAAATGTGTCTTGTCTGTTTTGAGTTGATTTTATGATAAAGGCCCATGTGGATATCCAATTTTTCTGCTGCTATTTGTGAGGGATTATCTCTGTATGTATTCCTGGCACCTGGATTAGTTGATTGTATATGCATTGGATAATTTCTATATATTCCAGTACCATAACTTTGATTTACTGTAGTTTTTACAACAAAGGATCATCATACTTTCACCATTATTCTTCACTCTCATCATTATTTAATCATTTAGGGTCTTTGTGGTCCCATGTGAATTTTAGGATAGTTATCTTTCTGTCAAAATGCTGTTTTGATTTTGTTGCAGAGTGTGTGTTTTCTGAAAATTGCTGTGGATAATGTGAATATCTTGACAATATTATGACTCCAGTCATAGGTATGGGATTGTCTTTTTGTGAATGTGTTTCACAATGTGTTTTTTGTATTGTTTAGCTTTCACCTCACCAGAGTTTGATTCTAAGTACTTTTATTCTTTTTGTTGCTTTTGTAAGTGAAATTTATTTATGTGCTTCTTTTTTGTTTAGGTCATAATGTTAATGTACACTGATTTTTGTGTGTGACTTCTGTGTCTGCAATTTTATTCAATACATGTGAATACTTTTTCTTATGGGGTCTAGGATTTTCTGTGTGTAAGAAACCCTCCTTGGAAAGATGTAGCTTGATGTCTTTCAGCCTGGTGAGCCTGTCTTAAGTTTTTCTTATTTGGATGTCTCGTATGTTTTATTTATTTATTTATTTATTTTAAATATTTATTCATTTATTTATATAAGCACTGGGTACAGTCAGAAGCGCGGGAGGGTGAGAGAATTCGCCAGAGCCAGAGTGGGGAGCAGAGCAGGCAGAAGGACCGAAATACACCGCTGAGGGGAGCAGCGGGTGGCAGGAGAGGTCTGCACGCCATGTGGGGCCTTCCTCCGGTGGCCTCCTCTGGTGGCCGGGGAGCAGCTGGGGATCGAACCGGCACCACAGAGGCTGTGGGCAGCTTCGCAACGCAGCGCTCAACCGCTGTGCCACCGGGGAGGCCCAGTCTAATGTTTTAAAAGGAAAGGTAAGACTGGATACTCTTACCTTGATAATGATATTAGAGGTAATACTCCAACTTGCCACTCCAAAGGTCCAATGTTAACTCTGAGCTTTGATTGTGTGGAGGTGTATTCTAATTATTGAGGGTATTTTTTTTTTATCATTAGCTGGTACTGAATTTTATCAAATGCTTTTGCTGTACTTACTGTAATGAATTTGGGATTTTGATCCATTACTGT